CCCCCCACCGCAGCCTCACCCTCCCCCCCCCAGGAGCTGGGGAGGGTTTTAGCTAAAACCTCCAGCCGAGGGGTCGGTGGCGGTGCAGCGGAGTCATGCCCGCGGGGCCACCGCGGTGCCAGCGCAGCCCCGGCTTTGGTGCCGCGCTCCAGGAAGAGGTGCTGCCTTGCTCACCAGCGACGAAGACCCAGTTCCTCCTCTTCCTCGTCTCCTCGGTGGCCACCACCCGCACGGTCTGCACCGCGTCCCCGTAGACGTCCCGGAACCATTCCACATCCGAGAGGCGCCGTGTGTCGCTCACCACCTGCACGGGGGCTCCGTCAGCTCCTGCCCCATGTGCCCCATGTGCCCCACATGCCCCACACCCCCTGAATGCCCCCAAACACCCCCCGCTGCTCACCCACACGGGCTGTGCTGCCCCCTCCACTGCCGTCCTGCAGAAGAAGCCAGGGTCAGCGCAGCGCTTCTCCTCGCCCCAGCGGATCATGTCCTGCCGGTACCTCTCCTTGTAGGCGCTGGCGTCCAGGAGCCGCTGGAAGTCCAGGCCATGCTCCTGCAGGGACAGGGGGTCAGCGGGCACGGCCTGTGCCACGGCGCAGCACAGCATGGCACGGCACGGCTCAGCACAGCACAGTGTGGTGTGGCATAGCATGGCATGGCACGGCATGGCCTGGGACTACATGGTGTGGCATGGCATGGCATGGCATGGCATGGTGCAGTGTGGTATGGTGTGGCAGGGCAAGGAATGGCGTGGTGTGGCATATCATGGCAGGGCAGGGCATGTTGTGGTGTGGCATCGCATGGTTTGGCATGGATGGTAAAGCACGGCACAGCATGGTACAGTATGGCGTGGTGTGGCATGGCACAGCATATCATGGCATGTCAAGGCTCGGCTCGGCATGCCATGGCTCAGCGCAGCACCGTGGCATGGCACGGCACGGTGCAGTGTGCCATAACGTGGCACAGCACAGCGTGGGACTACATGGTGTGGCATGGCCCAGCACGGCATGGCATGGTGTGGCATAGCATGGTGTGGCGTGGCACAGAATGGCAGGTCATAGCGTGGCATGGTGTGGCATATCACAGCACAGCATGTCATGGCGCGGCATGGCACGGTGTGGCACGGCATGGTGTGGCATGGCTTGCATCGGGATACCATGGCTCAGCACAGCACTGTGGTGTGGCACAGCATGGCACGGCACGGTGTGGGACTACATGGTGTGGCACGGCATGGCACAGCATGGCACAGTGTGGTGTGGCATAGCATGGCACGGCATGGGACTACATTGTGTGGCAAGGCATGGCTCAGTGCAGTGTGGCATGGCACGGCACAGCATGGCATGGCGTGGCGTGGCATATCATGGCACAGCACGGCACGGTGCAGCGTGGCACTGTGTGGTTTGGCGTGGACAGTACAGCATGGCACGGCATGGCACAGTATGGCACGGTGTGGCACGGCACAGTGTGGCATGGCACGGTGTGGCACGGCACGGTGTGGCACAGCATGGCAGCAGGGCACGGCTCAGCACAGCACCGTGGTGCGGCACAGCGTGGCACAGCATGGTGCGGTGTGGCAGGAGACTACATGGTGTGGCGTGGCATGGCTGAGTGCAGTGTGGCACAGCGTGGCACAGCGTGGCATGGCATGGCGTGGCATATCACGGCACAGCACGGCACAGTGCAGCGTGGCACCGCGTGGTTTGGCGTGGACGGGACAGCATGGCATGGCACAGTATGGTACGGCGTGGCACGGCGTGGGAGGGCACGGCGTGGGGTGGCACAGCACGTCGGGGCGTGGCAGGGCGTGGCAGGGCGCGGCAGGGCGGGGGTACCTTGGCGTACTGCTCCTTGAGGGGCCCGGAGAGGCGCAGGACGGTGCAGACATCGGGGCCCAGCCTGCGGGAGAGGGGTCAGCGGCACCGGGCCCGGTACCGGCTCCACCCGGCCACCCCCTCCCCAACCCGGTACCGGCTCCGCCCCGCCCGGCCCCGCCCACTCACCCCAGTACCGGCCCCGGAACCGGCTCCACCCCCGCGGTGCCGGTCCCGGCCCCGCCCCTCCCGGTGACAGCCACGCCTCCCCCGGTAACGGCTCCGCCTCCCTCCCCCTCCCGGTACCGGCTCCGAAGCTCCTCGGCCACGAAGTCCTTCCCCGACTTCCTCTTCCCGCTCAGCAGCAGCACCGCGCGCGGCGCCGCCATCCGCCCC